TTAAATTTTTCTTTGTGATGCAAAAATATTCCTAGAGCATCTAGATTAATTTCTGCATCAAAATGAAAATTTTGGTAAAAATGTCGTTTATGTTAGTTTGGGGGTTAGGGCTCGATATGAGACACATGTCCAAAAAACAAATGGTTATGGAAGCACAGTGTGTGTGTTTTAGATAAATACTGAACATTCTACATATGTATGTATGTGCTAGTGCTGGGAAGTATTGAGTACTTTTGAGGATCGAGTTCTTTGGTATCCATACTTTTAAGGATCGGGTATTTTTCAGAGTACTGAGTCTTACTTTCTTTAAATATCCGCATGTTTGTAACATTTCAATACTTAGTGTAGAAATCTCACAAGCTGGCAGTATTTTATTCAAATTAATATATAATTCCCATATTACGTCATATGAATGGCTAACTGTACTGAAAATTATTGCAACTGCAAATTGAGTACAATCATTTCTGAATACCGTTAAATGTAAATAAAACTCAGTACTTTTTAATTCTATTCGACACTTAATACTAAGTACTTTGATCGATCCTGAGTATATGTATCAAAGCGATTATTGGAACAGAGTATTTTTGAGTACTGAGTACTTTGGAGTTCCTTTTTTGAGTACTAAGTACTTTTGAGTTCTTTTGTGAGTACTGAGTTCTTTGGAGTACTCCAAAACTAGAATCGAGTTCTGAGTACTTTTGGTATCGATGCATGTACGTACATATATCCCCTTATACTTACAAGCACAGGGTGAGCAGGTCATGCCATCACCAATGGTGGTCGCAAAAAATAATTCCACGTCTGTTACATCTCGGTCAGTGTAGAATAGCTCTGAATATCGACAACACTCCGCCTTAGTGCTATTCCGCAAATAAATCTCGCTACATTTGCCATTACTTTGGGACGAACGCCAGCAGGCGCCGGCTGTAAGTAGAAAATTTATTTAAAAAGATTAGTGGTAGCAGGGAAAATAAATGGGGTCAGATCAAATCTAAAAATTTTTTTAAAATGTTTGTCGTTTGAAGAATTTGTATTTAGATTTTCTCGTAATTCTATACAAAGCTTCGATGTATTGAATACGATAAATGTCAGAGCTGACAAGTGACAGTACATAAATTTTTGGTAATTTTATAACTGGATAAAAATTTTTAGTAATTTAAAATTTAAATTTTTGGTAAGTTTAACGCGAGACATTCATTTGTGGGAATTTTTAAGGCATAATTATGGTAATTTAAAATATGGTCATACATTTCTGACTAAACTGGACAGATACATACATATATATTTTTAGTAATATAAAATCTGAATTCGTTTTCATATAAAGTCACGAATTTTTGAGAATTTTAAACGGAACATATTATTTTTTTTTCATTTAAAAACTGTTCATAAATTTTTGATTATTTAAAAATTGAACACAATGTTTGATTATTTTAAAATTGCACATACTTTTTTGGTCATTTTAAAACCGGACATGTGTATATTTTAATTCAATTATAATCTGAATTTTTGGTCACATAAAAAGAAAGACATAAATTTTTGAGCAATTAAAGCTGTATATGTATAATTTTCGGTAGTTTTAAACTGAATATACAGTTTTAGTTATTTAAAATCTTAATTTGATGTCAGATAAAATGATACATGAATTTTTGAGCAATTTTCATAGGACGTAAATTTTAGTAATTCAAAAACTGATCATAAATTTTTGATCATGTAAAAAACGAGACATGCATTTTTGGGTTTTTAAAACTGGACATAATTTTTGGTCATATAAAAAAATAACACAAATTGCTAATCATTTCAAAATTGAAAAAAGTTTGAACATTTTAAAACTGGACATTTATTTTTGTCCGTTTGAAAACTGGACATACACATATGTATGTATGTATGTACCTAAAGAGCGAAATACACCACACAAGCGGTTTGACAAACCAAGCGAAATTTCCCTTTGCTTCAAGCCATTTGTGCTGTGTATGGGGGTGTTTGAAGGTTTGACAAACCGCCGTCAAACCTTCAAACACCCCCATACACAGCACAAATGGCTTGAAGCAAAGGGAAATTTCGCTTGGTTTGTCAAACCGCTTGTGTGGTGTATTTCGCTCTTAAGTCAGTCACGCTCAGAGAGAGTTTGTACTATGTGCACGGCCATATAAAATCTGCAGAGAGCTTTGAAGTGTTCCGCCCGCGGGCGCTGTTTTGAGCATAACTGATTTTAAATCATTCGATAGCTGAAGTTAAAAATTGGCACTCGAATGGTGGATAAATGATAATGCCCTCGAAAAGTGAGCACAAAATAGTGTGGACAACAACTTTTGAATTGTAAGACGGAAAACAGTGGAAGTGCAAAACTATCGATAGTACTAGCGATAGTATCGATAGTTTTAATTTTCCTACACTACGCAAGTTATGTAAATTTATTTATTCGCCTACAGAGATACTCTTACAGACTATTACAAATGAATTAAAAATTTTAAAAGGTCTAATTCGAATTTAAATAGATTCTGGTAGAAATTTAGTTCTAGTGCAAACTTATGCAATATTGAAAGTTTATTTAGCATAAGGAATTTTTTTTATAAAAATATGTATATCATGCTCTATAGCAAACACCATGTACATTAATCCGATTTTCAAACTTTTTATAAAACTTATAGTAATGGAAAAAATTTTCATAAAAATCTTAAACATAAAAAAAAAATTTAGCCCATTAAATTTTAGCTGAGGCGTTTCAAGTTTCTAAAAAATTGCATTGATTCTTGGTAATTTTTATACCCGAGCGCAACTTTTTACTTGTTGTGCACTTTGTTTATTTGTACATGCATATAAAGCACATTTAACAAATGAGAACATAAAGTTTTTTTTAAATATGTACGATGTTTACATAAAAGTCATAGTAGTTTTATTTTAATGTTCAGCCCTTTCGCGGTAAATGGCACATAAATAGATATCTTAATATTTCGTTTAAAATGCCAAATTTCCTGCAAATGCATTATAATGTACAAAGCGAATTTCACTAGTAATTGCCTACTTTTCTACTACTACCTTTTTCTCACCAACGGATTTAATTTTTCCCCTTTTTCTGTCCTTCGTAAATGAAACCTTTTGTAAGGGAGTGTCAAACCGCGGCTGTCAATAATTATCTAACCTTTAACTATTGAATCATGGGCGATGAGATCACGAAATATGATAAAGAGGGTTATTTTTTCTCTTGTGAATCAGCTAGAAGACAAATAGTAAACAAGTTATCTCATCCTCACATACATGGTAAATTTGTGTGTATATAAGTTTATTCTTTTATATCATCATGGTAGCACATAACCTATGTGGCGATTTTTGTTTTTATTTAGATAAGCAAAATAATCCCAGAATAAATATAGCAAAATTGACCATCATAAACAACGATTGGGAAAAAAAGTAAAAAAAATAATAATAATAATGATGCGAAGCAATAAGAAATGAATTTTATAACCGAGAAGCGCATATCCAAATCCCTCAGGTAAAATCATCGCAACGCCGTTGAATAGTGTTCAACCAAATAAATTTCGTGCTGACAACGATTTCTGTCTGGCTGCAATAAAATCAAATTAATTTAGCGCCAATATTTTTAGATCAAAACAAAAACAGACAAAAAACTATCAACTCATAAACGAACGCCTTAAAAATCTTGCAGTCAGCAGCCATAACCTAGACACTTCTTAATCGTTAACAACCGATGATATGCGGTTATTAATACCTACGCATGGATAACATAAACATACATACATATTCATCCCATTAAAACCTAAAATTGGCAGTATACGTAAATGATACAAATAGGCAACCGCGGCATTTCACGTGGGAACATATTAATTTTTTGAATATTCCGTACTTATATTTGGAAGGCTTAGGCGTATAAAGCAATATATGAACACAAAAAATTCATTATAACTTATTACCAAATTGACAATTTTATACGAAATAAAAGTAATAGGAGGAGAAGAATGAACAAATGCTATCATACTTAGAGCATTCACAAGACCTGTTAACCGTCGTAAAATCTTAAGCTTAAAATTTTTTTATGTAAAATAAAATGGTTCTAGAGGATTTCTAACTATATCGAAATGTTTTTAAAACTGATAAAAAATATAAAATTAGCCCCGCTTAAAACCATTTTAGCGGTTAAATTTATATAAAAAAATTTTAAGCTTTAGATTTTACGACGGTTAACACGTCTTCTAAATAGTAAGTATATAAGTAGGCTCTGAAATAAATCGATCACGCCAATTTTTCGGTTTTTCTTTATTTAAGTCTAAATAGTTATAAATGTTTAATTTTTTCCAAAAAAATGTATGGGCTTGCACCACTGTGCGGCGTAGGCCTTAAATGGAATTTGTTTTAAGGTATACATACATACTTACATATGTTTGTGTATACATATATATCAAAGGTATATGTCAGACCATAAACTTTCTAAAAAAGACGCATTCAAGTGGGTATTTTATATTTTTTTTCTAGTTTTATAGATCTATGATTTTAATTTTGCGCCTTTTTCCACTTTGCCGACTGGCAAATTTTTGATTGATGAATATGTAAGTACATATGCATGTGTGTATTATAGATATGACTAAATAATTCGTGTACTAAAGCATTTTGAAGCTGATTTCTGAGTTGATATCAAATACTTCGTGTAAGCTGCTTTTTTTTGGCCCTAAACGACTAATATTTTTGAATTACTAGAACAGCATATTTTCCATGTTTTCTTACGATATATTGGCAGCTGAGAGCAAAGAAATGCGGAATGACCCAAAGCCATTGACAATTGAAATGTTCAATACAAGTACAGACGATTTTTATACCTTTCATGAGCATGAAATGGTATTATAACTTGGGTCCGATGTTTGCGTCTGTCCGTCTGTCCGCCGTCAGTTTGTGTGCAATCTAGTCTCTCAGTTTTCGAGATATCCGGATGAAATTTGGTAGGTGGGTGTATTTTTATAATGTATTAATCATTTGTCGGAACCGGAAGAATCGGACTACTATAACATATAGCTCCCATACAACTGATTGTTCAAATATGAGATTTTTCGTTATAACTTCTCCATTATGCAGATAGGAACACATTATCAACAGTCAAGCAGGAGCTATGCACACCCCGAAAGCTTTTGTTGCTTATCCATTTCCTTATACAACCTGCTCCTATAAAAAGTTTCCACCGATTAAGACTAATCAAGTATAAGTGTGAAATAGAAGATGAAATACAAAGTCGAATGGCATATATTTGCTGTAACAATCTGAATCTGGAATTATTCAAACTATAAGGACTGCGAATCATTAATTTAAGCATGCTCAACATTAGTTGCTAAAAATTTATTATTACTAGTTTTTTCTTAAAACTAAAATTTACCATTAGCCATAAAATAGGAGATTTAATTTTTTTTCATCCCTATTCAAAATATTTTCAAACTAAATCCTTTTTAAACCTCATTTGCCACACCCAGAATGTGATATATGTATATGTATTGTCAATAAAATAAATGCCTTAATTTAAGTTAAATTTGAATTTTTAAACAGGGGGCTACGCTTAAACATTTAGTTATTTATAAATTAGAACTTTTTCGATTGATACCCTTATTTTAGTATTTCATATAACTTAAACAAATGCAACTCCTTTTAAAATATTTTCAAACTACAACCTTCTTAAACCTCTTTCGCCTGATACCCATATCTATTGCGATACATATGTATCAATCTTACTTATTTCACTGAATTCAAATTGATTTTAATTTTTTAAACATGTACTCCATTTCGATTGATACTCCCAAATTATAATTTCCCTAAATTGAATTTAATTCTTAATTAGGTGACAACACTTTAAATGTTCTAACCTAGATATTTATGAACTTTCTGTATAAAATTTGTATAAAAAAAGGCATGTGATGTTTTGAACTTTA